ATATTCCATGGGATTTAAAATATACTGCCACATGACACTTCCAGAACATAAAAAGCATTGCTCCAGATATGGTTCAAAAACACATCAGAGAGTAATGGAAGAAGACATTTAGCTGCAGGAAAGCAAAGGTAATGTAGTGACATCTCATTGAATTTTCATGTGATACTCTCTGGGTATGTCTTCTTCTGTGAATATGAGTTGCCTTATCTTCTGACAATATACAAATCTTTTAAACTACCATGATTTTCATACAGCAGAATATTACTGAAGCAATATTGCTTCTGAAATTATAACACTGAGATGACTTACATTGTATTTTTAAGTGCTTCAGATTTATTCTGCAAACAATAATCTAACAGCCAACGCGGAGAATCAAACTAGTCAGTAGTCTATTCTGCCACTAACAAATGAGCTATCTGGGTAACAAATCATACTCCATGGCATGTTAGTAAGCTAGCTCTTTGATGTTGGAGGAGCACAAAACACCATGCCCAGCCTTGATCTGTAGCACTCAGCGACTTCCACGGTATAAATATTCCTGCTACAGAAGACTTCAAGCTCACAATTTGTGCATAAAGCTTCCTAACATTTAACAAATAACAAAGTCATTTGTGCTGCAGGCGTCAGGGCTACTGCACCTACGGTACCCTTCCCAGAGGGGCACACATTTGTTCTCACCTTCATTTTAAAAGTGAGAGTTAATCCCATTTTACATAGAATTGACTATCTTAACTACTTTGAGGCGCACAGTTCAGTTGTACATACATTCACACTGCTGTGCACCATCACCACGTCCATCTCCAGAACTGTTCATCCTGCAACACTGAAAACTGCCCATTCAGCAGTAACCCTTCATTCTCCTTCTCTCCCAGCCTCCACCGTTCCACTTGCAATCTCGATACAATTTTGACTGTTCTAAGTAATCCCTGGAAGTGGAATCACACATATTTACCTTGTGGGGACTGGCATATTTCACTTAGCATAATGCTTTCGAGGTTTATCTACGCTTTTAGAATTTCCTTCCTCTTGAGGGTTGAATAATATTTCACTGTGTGCACATATTTTCCTTATCCACCAAAGGACACTTGTAATGCTTACATATCGTGGCTATTATGAATAATGCTACTAGGTATTAACTTATTCAGAGTTTCTATTTATTTTTGGTTTAGTCTTTGTTATCCAGTCTATTAATATTCCTTTTTATTTCTGTAGAATCAATAACAAGGTCCCTATTTTCATTTCTGATTTTAGTAACTGAACCTTCTCTCTAAGTTTCTATATTGATACTCTAAACCAACTTTTGGCCTCCATTATTTACCTATTACCTATTTTGTTTTTGTCTCCTCAAATACTTATTGCCTTCCTTCTTTTATTTTGGGCTTAGTTCTTTTTCTAGGTCCTTATGTTATATTAGGTTATTGATTTGAAATACAGTATTTCTTCCTTTTCAAATTTATTTTTATTTACTTACTTAGTTACCTGGAATTGAACTTGGGACCTTGTGTTTGCCAGGCAGGCACTTGTGCCTCTGAGCTATAACCCCAGTCCGATTTCTTGCTTTTCAATGTATTTTTAGTTGTTTTGTTTTTGGGGTTTTTTTGTCTTTTTTTGAGACAGGATCCCGCTCTGCAGTTCAGGCTGGCCTTGAGCTCACTTTGTAGCCCAGGCTGTTCTCGAACTTGCAACGATCCTCATGCCTCAGCCTCCCAAGTGCTGGGATTACAGGTGTGTGCCACAACACCTAGATTGCTTTTTAATGTAAACATCTGTTTAAATTCCTCTTACCACTGCTTTTACTGTGTGCCACAAATTTTCATTCATCTTAAGTCTTTCTAATTTGCCTCCTGATTTTCTCTTTGGTCCACAGATTAACAGTATGTTAATTTCCATAATTAAAAAAAAAATTTTCATTTTTCTTCTGTTACTGCTTCCTAACTTCATTCTGTTCTGATCACAGAAGATACTTTTTGTAATAACTATATTTTAAAATATACTGGGGGCGTGCAGGGATACAGCTCAGTGGTACAGCGCCTGCCTGTGAAGTGTGAGGTCCTGAGTTCAACTCCCAGTACCAAAAATAAATAAATAAATAATAAAATAAAATACACTGGGACTTAATTGTGAACTAACATATAGTTTATCCTAGAAAATGTCCCATATGCACTTGAACTGTATAATCTGATGTTGTATAGCATGTCCTATATATGCATATTATTAGATCTAGTTGGTTTGTTGTATTAAAACCTTTATTTCTTTATCTTCTGTTTAGTTGTTTTATACATTATTGAGAATAAGGTATTGGATTCTCCAACTGCTATTACAGAATTGTATCTCTTCCCTCAATTCTGTCAATTTTTGCTACATATATTTTCACACTTTGCCTTTAAGTGGATAAATGTTTATTGTAACTCCTAGCTGTACTGAACCTTTTCAGATATGTAATGACTTTGTCTCTGTAACCAACTTTTCTGAGTTAAAGTACACTGCATCTAATACAACCACCTCTATTCTCTTTTGGATAGTATCTACGCTGAATTTTTTTTCACCCTTTTATTTTCAATTATAGGCATGTACCACTACACACATTTATGTCTTTGGTTTTAAGGTGACTCTTTTACACAGAGCTGTTGTTGGATATTTTGAATCCATTTAGCCACTCTCCACCTTTTGATTGGAAATTTTAATCCAATTACATTTAAAGTAATTACTTATAAGAAGGAACTGATTTCTGACATCTTGGTTTCTACATACCTTATCGCTTTTCTGTTCATTTCCTATATAACATTACTGTTTAGTTGATTTCTGTTCGTAGTAAAATGTTTAAATTCCTTTCTCATTTCATTTTGTGTATATTCTCTTGTGACCTTTTTATGCTCAGCACAGTAATTACATTTTACACACTAAAATCACTGTAATGTGAATTTATACCAGGTTAACTTCAATAACACTAAAAAAATACTCATTTGACATTAACAGTTCCATATATACCCCTTCCAATTGCTGAAGTCACAAAATTACATCTTTACACACTATGTATCCAAAACCATGAACTGACAATTATTTCAACTGTATTAGTCTCTTAAATTATACAAAAAACAAAATGTGGCATTATAAAGCAAAGTTATAATAACACTGGCTTTACACTTTTTTTAGCAATACTAGGACTTGAACCCAGGGCTTTAACACTGAGCTACGTCCAACCTGTTTTTCATTTTGAGACAGTTTCACTTAATCGCCTCACTGGGCCTGAATGTTTGATCCTCTTGCCTCAGACTCCCTGAGTGCGGGATTACAGGCATGTACCACCACACACATCTCTGACCAGTGATGGCAAACCTTTGAGAACTTTCAATGATAACAAACAGCCCACTGCAGCACATGTACTATAGGTTTAGTACCACTGTCTTAGAGTAATTTTTAAAATGTTCTGGTCCATTAAATCATGTAGAAATCAAAAAGTAAATTTATATACCCTTGTTAGAAAAACACAATACTAGCTTTTATAATTGCCCTTGAATTTTCCTTTACTGAGATTTTTTTATTTCTTCATAGACTTCAAATTACTTTCTAGTGTTCTTCCACTTCAAGCTGCAGGACTCCCTTTTGCACTTCTTTCAGGACAGGTCTAGCAAAGGACTCCCTCAGCTTTTGCTTATCTGGGTTTGTCCTACCTTCTTTCCCACTTTGGAAGAACAGTTTGCAAGTTCTAGGATTCTTGGTTGACAGTTTTTTCTTTTAGCAACTGAACATATTGGCACACTGTGCTATCACCCCTGATGTCTGCTGTGACATCTGATTACTGAAGATCCCCTGTGTGTGGTGAGTTGTTTTCCTCATGCTGCTTTCAAAGTTCTCTCTTTGTCTCTGGCTCTCCAGATCCTCCTGACTCAGCCTCCCAAGTGCTGGGTTTACATGTATGCACCACCATACCTGGTAATCTATTACAATTTAAAAGCACTTAAAGTTTCACTTGCCCCTTAGAGTTTATCTATCCTTTTTTTTAAAAAAATTAAATCTCAAGATATCTTTTATTTTTGTACATGTATAGACAGACCATCTCATCTTTTTTTTCTTTTGCAGTACTTAGAATTGACCTAGGACTTCAGAGCTATATACTCAGCTCTATTTTGAGAGAAGCTATTTTGAAGTTGCTCAGGTTGGACCTGAGCTGGCAATGCTCCTGCCTCAGCATCCTGCAGTGCTGGGATAACAGGCATGAACCATGACTCCATCCCATCCTTACTCTTACAGAATCAGTGACCCTATGTATTTTTCTCTATTCGAGTGTAGAAATTCAATTAATTTAAAACTAATTAAATTAAATCTTTAATCAATTTCATTTACTCCCATTATTTTTAGAAAAATGAAAATAAGAAATAAACCTGATAATTCTTCAAACTTCTAAAATGAATACTAAGTATAAACTCTTGCAACTCCAGACTCCATAGTACCATAAAAGAGGATGCCCTAATGTGCTCTGAAAAACATTAACTGTAATGTCTTTTTTTTAAAGAAGCAAGGTCAAAGAGAAGAAAAATCTTAGAGTACTCTGTATTGTACTATAGTTCATGTCATTCAATGTTAATGAAAGCTTAATCATATTTCCTAGTAAGAACTTTAAACCTTTACAGTGAAAAGAGTATAAAACTTGGGTCACACATTTCTTTGTTTTTTGGGTTTTTTTTTCCTCCATAAAACAAATTTAGGTAATAGTAGATAAAGAAAAAAATTTTTTAAAATGCCTGATCATGAAGAAAGTAATTCATGCCTGTATTCCCTCAGTAAACCTTGTCCTGAATTCAGCTTCTTCAGCTAAACAGACCTCTATTACTAAATTTAATCCTTCATGAAAAGGTACATTGAATCCTTAACTCATACAGATTTTTGAGAATCACTGAAGTCTTGCCAAACGTTCATTTCTCCTACGAGCAAATGAGCCAGCTAGTCTTCTATTGCCTATGCCATGACAGTCCGTTAGAAACTAATCAAAAAGCAGATACCTTTATCAGAGTATGTGTGTTCTAACTCATGGAGGTCAGGCAACAAGTGAATACAGTTTATGCAGCAGTAGCTGAAGAAATCAAGGATGACCACTTTTCCACACAGGTCCTTGTAGACAGAAATAGGCTCTTCTGTGTTCAGCCATTCTAATCCTGAAATGTATACAAAATAAATTACAATGATTAAAGATAAAAACAGAGATAACTGATCTAAAACTTTCCATTAGAATGTGAATTGCTGTTCTTTCTAGCACTACCAAAAACAGTCCAACACTTTAAGAGAGGATAGCACTAAAGTCAGTAGTAGTTTATTTCATTTGTAAGAACTGGACTTTTTGATCAATCAAAAAATTAAAGACATGATGTCTGTTCTTTACTACAATTAAACAGGTATCTGTGATGTGAAGGAGACCGAAAAGCCAAGTCTATAGGGATTGAAGATCCAAAGAGGGAAGAAAGAAGAAAAACAGGAAAGAGTGACAGGGTAGGGGTAGAAGGAAGGGTAAAAGGAGAGCTGCTTTTATGAGGCAGTCTGCACACACAGCAAGAAAACGCTTCTAAATTCTGTCAGAACTAGTGTAATAGTCTGGGTATGAAAGAGGATAAAACCAACACATTTAGGCAAAAACAACAGGAAATATCAAATATTAAGTAACTGCATTCAGAATGAGGTAAATAAGCTTAAAAGCATTAAGACATAGCTAAATATCAAAAACAAAATATATTTAACGATAAACATACAAAATGCCTACGCCAATCTCCTATAAAAAAAAGCTGAAATGTTCTGGAGTTGGATGAAACACGAGATACAAAATAAAGTATTTTAAATGCAAAATCCAGAGCAACACTAATATTGATGAAGAATGTGTTCTCTTCCCTCCAAAACAAAATAGGCTCTCCTTATCTGTACTTTTGGAAATCAGCATTTACAATTACTTGATTATGATTCAAAATGTTAACTGTACTATGAAGATTTTGTTAAATATTAAAAAGTACAGCATCCCTATCTAAACAACTTACAAGAACAAAGTTTACTGCTTATAGATAAATAAATGTAGCTATTAAAAAGTTTGATTATAGGGGCTGGGGATTTAGCTCAGCGGCAAAAGTGCCTGACTGGCAAGCGCAAGGTCGTGAGTTTGGTTCCCGGTACCGGAGAAAAACCAAAAAAAAAGTTTGATTATACCTTGAAGTAGGTATTTAGAAATATTTCATAGCAACTGAACCCCAACGCTGGGCAGAGCAAGTAAATTCATTAGGCCTCCCTTTTCCACGAGGAATATGTTGCAAGACCTCCACTGGAGGCCTGGAACTGCGCAGTATACTGAAACTTAGAATTGAAGGCCTTTTCCATCTTAACCAGGCATTTATCAGGCACTGAGGCCCCAGGTAACTTGTGCAGTTTAGGATGTGACAACAAAACTAGCACAAATTTCTTTTTCCTTCTTCACAATTTGGCATATAAAAGATGGGTTTTTACTGTAGGTCTGAGCAACCAACCACAGCACGTCATTGTTTTTTTCTTCATTGGGAACTTTCACCTTTTCACTTGAGGGAAGCACTTACGGCTTCTTTGGCATATCGGATAGCCAGCAGCACCACCGTTGAGCACTGAGGCCATTATTAAGTTAAATAAGGGTTCCTGGAACAGAATCCCTGTGATACTGCTACCCTTGACGTGATAACCATGACTAAGAGCTGGCAGCATACACAACACAGATAAGGGGACAAGGTGATCTGTCACATCACTGGAAAAAGGGATGACTCACAACACGCAGGACACAGGAAGAAGGCATGAGATTTGTCAGATTTAGAGTGGTACACAATTCAGAGATTATGAATTGTTCCTTTCTGCAATTTTTCATTTAATATTTTCAGGCTGTGATTGGCTTTTGGCTTAACCAAAAGCACGCAAACAAGATTAGATAATAAAAATACTGCCAAATCCTGGCTGATGGCCTGCTTGTTTGTAATAGTGTATGTGCTACAGAACTACCTCTTTACAACGTTTTTACAAAATACGTATACATGTACGTAATACGTACCTTCTCGCAAGGTTTTTACAGAATATGTATACTATTGTGTGTGTGTGTGTGTGTGTGTGTGTGTATTATTTTTAAATTTCTCTAATGGGATAAGCATTTATGCACCCTTTTTGGGTAAGAATTCCTTCATATTTCTAATCTAGTGTAAGATTAGTAACGGAAAAAATGAGGCCTTCTCAAGGCAAGTGCAAAAGGCTCAGAAAGACACCCAAGACTGTTTTCAGAGGAGGTTCCGATATACCTCCCATGAGATAACTGAACCCTGCCACAACCAACCAATTAACTATGCATGCGGTTTCAGTGTCATGCCAGGACACATGCCAACATCACCAGGCAAAACAATGCCACTCTCACCAAAGAAGGTAAAGTATGGTTTCATTTCAAAGCGCACTGCTCAGAGTATCTATTCCCTCATATTCCCAAGGCTCACACAGCCAGAATACAAACCCTGGAGAAAGGCCATATAATTGATTCAAATTTTTAAAATTTTTAAGTTTCTTGATACTGAACGGGAGCAACCAGGCAAAGCTAGGAAACCACCAAAATCTGGGGTCTGGAGAGAGTAGTACTCCTACTCAGGCAGTTATCAGCTGGAAGTTCCTTGGTCTCCCCGTGCCTCAGTTTCCCTAACGGTGAAACAGGACGCACAAGAGGACATCGCTGGGTTGTCGGAAGGGGTAAACAACGTAATATCCCCCCAGGCGCTTAGAACTGCGCGGGGCACAGAGGTGATCCCCAAATGTCAGCCAGGACGCCGCAGAGAGATGATGAGGACGAAGGCTCCAGGGAAACAGACAGAAGGGACCGGGTGGTGTGGACATCGCCATCGCCGCCAACCGGGACCACGGACATTCTTGGGGTCTCTACCTAGCTGGCACCAGGCCGGGGCAGCCCGCGCCCTCCGCAAGCCCAGGCGCGCGTCGCCGCTCGGGTCGGGGGCCGCAGGCACGCGCCCAGCTCCTCCCGCGCCGAGCAAGGGGAGGTCCCGGCACGCCGCTGCCGCGCGCCAGCCCCTCACCTTCCGGGAACTCGGGCGCCGGCAGGTCCTGCTCCCGGCCGTCCACCTTCTGCAGATACTGGTAGACCAGGTCGTCCTTCTCCTGCGGGGTGACGGCGTCCAGCAGGGCGTACTCGAGCGACGTCTGCGCGGGCAGTAGCCCCGAGAGGCCGCAGCCGCGGGCCCCGGACGCCGCCATGTTGCTGTGCGGGTCCCCGGCGGCGGCCGGAGACGCTGCGGGCGAGGCGCGGCCCCCGCTGCGCCCGCACAGCCCCGCTCTACGCCAGAACCCTCCCCCCCCTTTTTTTTTTTTTTTTTATTTTTAAGAATGAGGTCGAATGCCAAAGTCCAAATGGCCGCAATTCCCGGGCACGTAATTAAACTAATGTCGCAACTCACCCCGCCCCTCCCAGGCCCCTCGCCGCGGCCCAGCTGGACATTGGGAACGCCAGATTCAACAGGGCGCCGGCCTCGGTGGCCGCGTTCCGCGGGCTCTGTGGCACCCATCCTTCCACCTTCCACCTTGGAAACTGGCAGGCTTTAGAATACAATTAAAATAAAATGAACCAGCCGGCCACTTAAAAAAAATTTTTTTTTAAAAGATCCCACTCTTAAACCTGGATCAGCCGATTCGACACGCCTCCGGCCGCGGGAAGTGGTTCCCGCCAAGACCAGAAAGGTAAGGCCAGGGATATGGTATCTTCCAGAGAGAGTTTTTTGGAGTTTTGTTTTTTTGTTTTTTTGTTTTTTGTTTTTTTTTTAAGTCACAATGGCTTTGATTTGTAAACAAACATGTCTTGTGAGCCTGGAAGTGTTGAAAGTGCAGGCGCGAATAGACCGTCCGCCTGGCCGGGGAAGGGGGCGCAGAGGGGAGCGGATGCAGCTGGTCCCCGGGTGCGTGGCGGGTGGGCGGCCCCCAGCGGCTTTGAAGGCTGGCTGTGCTCCCCCAAGGGGGAGCTCTGGGGGCTCTTCTGGAGCCAGCTGTGCTTCACGTGGAGAGGGTGAAGGCCTTGCTTGGGGGCTCCAAAATTCAAGGAGAAGAGAGAGCTAGTAGGGGGTATCTGGCACATGACCTGGGTTTGACAGCGGATGGAGAGGGCCGGCCGCGTGTGGGACACACAGCTTTCCAGCTCTGGGGGACAGAGTGGGACCCCAGGCCACGCGGGACATGTTAATGTTTGAACTTTGTTCCTTGTCCAGGGATTGCACCATGCTGCGGGAGGAAGACACTAGACTGATTCAAGAAACTGAAGTTGTTGACTGTCTGCCAGGCACGGATAGCGGCCGTTACGTTTTTTGAGAATCACACACTTTGATTATGGTGTGACTTGTTTTACTAGTGAACTAGCCAAGTGCCCAGGACCTGTAACAGGACTTGTGAATTATTTGGACAGTTGTCCACTAGAAAGAGAACGGACAGTAGCTTCACAGCAGTTAGACAAAACTTGTTCTGAAGTTGTTGAACGTGCACTTCCCATTAGTGCCTAATTGTTAAAGTGTTTTTGATTCTTATTTTTATAAGTCAAGTCCTAGAAAAAGCCAAAATACTTGAATGAAATAGCAGCCACAGTGAAAAACTTCACAGCTGTTCCCCCCGCCCTCGGGATAGGTTCTTGTAATCTTATTAGGTATAAATGGGACAGCAGGAGTTCTCAGATATAATTTTTATAGTTTGCCAATGTATTGATTACCAAGCTTTAGAGTCTCATCAAGTGAGTGGGTTACTTTTTTTTTTAGCAATATAATTACATTTAAAAAACTGGTAGGAAGAGGTAGCCTCTCAGTTTACTGAAGATTAATGTCTTTTTGATGATACAGTCATTTTTGCTATGTTAGAAGACACGTTTTTGGAAGAAGACATCTGGAAATACAAATCTAAAAGAAAACCCAAACCAGTACATACAAATAATTGCACTGAAAGTATCCCCAAATCTGTTGAAAAGCCAACAGATGGAAAATGCCAGTCAAAACAAAAAGGAAAAAAAGCAAGAACCATAGAAGCTACAGGGAAGGTGAAAGATCATGAAATGTGCCTTGGAGAAAGCCAGACTAGCGTATCTTCTAGTCAGAATTCGAGTTGTGGAGATGATGTTCAGTTGTCCCAGGACAAAGCAGCTACTCCAAGAAAGCACTGTAGAGCTCACAAAAACAGACAAGTGTCCCCAAAGATACGCCCAGTTTATGATGGACACTGTCCAAACTGCCAGATGCCTTTTTCTTCATTGTTAGGTCAGACACCTCGATGGCATGTGTTTGAATGTTTGGATTCTCCACCAATCTCTGATACAGGTAAGATTGCAGAAAAGATAGTAGTCTCAAAATGTCTAGACATCTCGCGTTAGGTCAGCCGTCTCTTCAGTGAAACAGCAGGGCAAGTGATAAACCAAAAGAAAATTGAGACACCATACCAGTCAGTGGTCTTTTTGCAAAGAAAGTTGCAAACCTGAAAACAGCTTAAATGCATTTTATTTTTTCATAAAAGTTCCTACGTAGCTCAATTTTATAAATATTCATTGAACCTTTTACTGTTTATTTTACCGGTTTATTTTTGCTTACTCGATTCACAATGAGCATATAAGGTAGGTAGTGACATTTAATAGATGCATGTTCTTAAAAGTTAAGTAACTTGCCCGATTTTTTATCTTTTTTGGAACTTACAGAAAAGTATAAATACAGGTTTCTAAGTATGGATCTGATGTATTCTTTATGCTAGTGTATAGGAATAGGAACTGGGAAGCATCTTAGGTGATTAAGACTCTTATAAAAATGTGTCAAAAAGCTGAAGTAACACTATCATTTTATTATCTTTTAAAATAAATGTCATATTTAGCATGTGGAAAATTGGACTGTGTTGAAATTGAGTTGTAATGATCTGTGTATTTTAAAGTTATCCCAAATTTTCCGGAGAAAATATTATTTGAAGAGCAATATAAAAGAATATTTAACTTAAAAAATAAATAGTACCCAGGCATGGGGAAACACACTGTAACCCTAGCACTTTGGGAGACTGAAGCAGGAAAATAGCAAATTTGAGTCCCACCTGGGGAACTTTATGAGATCCTATCTCAAAATAAAACATTAAAAAAAGGGCTGGGGTTTAGCGCAAAGCGAAGACCCTGGGCTCAATCCCCAGTGCTGCCAAAAACAAAGTTTTTTTTTAAAAAAATGTACCTTGTAAAACCATTTTGGGTTAAGTGTTGATATTTTAAAACTCAGCTTTTTGATTGTGCAGTTCACAATAACTATTGTCTTAAGGCCTCGGAGGAGAACTGATGGTTTTCCACTTACACGTTTATTTATAGTGCTAATGCATCAAAGCTTGCCCTGCAATACATTTTTCTTTCTTAAAATTTTCAGAGTGTCCAGATGGTCTTCTGTGTACCTCAACAATTCCTTCTCATTATAAGAAATACACTCACCTTCTGCTTGCTCAAAGGAGGGCTAGCAATGATCCTTTTAGTGGCCCGCCACATGCGCCCGGTGGGAGTTCCAGTGAGACCAAGCCAGCCTTTTCTTTTATCTATGAGGAAAAATGGTGTCTACCTCAGAAACAAACTGAGAACTTAAAAAATGTTTCAAATGATCCCTTGTTGATGATACAGAATCTAAAAACATCTCAGCTTACAACTGAAGCCAATAAAAAAATTTCTTCTACAAATACTCAGACATCCCAGCAAGCTCTGCAATCTCCAGAATTTGTTAAGATTGATAAACTGGTAGGAGCTGGTTTGTCACTTATCAGGAAAGAGTCAGACAGCCAAAGGACCACACAACACACAAATTTGCCATTATCAGAAAATGACTTCAGCAGCTGTGAAATCTCTTATTCTCCACTTCAGAGTGATGAGGAAACGTATGATATAAATGAAAAGCTGGATGATTCACAACAGGAACTATTTTGTACCAGAAGTCCTAAAGATGGCAGCCTAGAAGATGATGACAGCTCTGCTGAGTTACAAAACCTCCATGGTCACTTCCTGAGGAATGCAGAGGAGATCTGCCCCAGAGCGAATAGCTTCTTCACTCAAGATAAGAACAGTGAAGGACTACATAAGTGCCGTGCTCTCGGCGATTCATTTCATTTCACCTCGCAAGCTGAGAGCGGCGTCTCATATGATCCAGCATTCACTGATTATTTTCTGTTGTTTCCACCTGCGCTAGCAGGGAATCTCCCTGCTTCTAGTTATCAGACCACTAAGGCAAAACCTCATCAGCCAGAATTTCACTCATCTCAATCAAATAAACAGAAACAGGTAATTGAAGAATCAGCTGTTGATAATCAAGCTTCTCTGCCATTATTGAATTGTGAGTTGTCAAAATCACAAAGTCAGGGAGGACGGTGTCTTTCTTTGCATTCAAGCCAAAGTAAAATTAGAGAATTATCAAGGGAGAACTTCCGTGCTAAGAACAATGCCAACTCAGCATGTGTCTGCAGAAAGACCTTAGACGGTATGCCAGAGGGTAAAGTTACACTTTTAAGTACAGGAAAATCTCGTACATCTACTGCTGCTAATTCTTCGAGAAAATTGTCTTCTAGTCCTAAAGGTACTACAAGACATTTTAGCAAGGCAATGAAGCAAATGGATATAGGTGTGTATTTTGGACTACCACCCAAAAGAAAAGAAGAGAAATCAATGGAAGAAAGTGCATTAGAAGTGATGAACTTAAATCCAGCTACAAGTCCTAATAAAAAGAGGCCCCGGCAGTGCAAGAGGAAGGCAGAAAAATCTTTAAGTGATTTAGAATTTGATGCGAATGATTTAAGTGAGAGTCAGTTCTCCATGGAACTGTCTGATGAGAGGTCACAGCGTCAAAGAAAGAGACGTAAAAAGTCAAATTCACAGGAAGGAACACATCAGAAGAGATCAGGGCACCTTATTAACAGTACAGAATCCGAATGTGGGACAGTCAAGTTAAGTAAAGATAAAGACTTCATAAAATCTGCTCCTGGCAGGCTGCAAAGAGGGAACATGAAAGTTTCAGAATCACCTAATACAGGAGAATTAAGAAAAAGGACGTGTCCATTCTATAAGAAAATACCTGGTAAGTTGGGGTATCAGCGCTCAGTGTATCAGCAAAAACACAAACTTTTTTATCTTCATATTCATTGTCCATGGATGTGTGTATGAAATAATTTTTTGTACTGTATGTGTCTGCTTTTCATGATACTTCATGAGCTGTTAACATGTTTTTTGTTTTTTTGTTATTTTTCTCCATTCAATTCAGTGATTTTATTAAACATACCCAGTACACAAGTTACTATACTAATTAGATGACTATTACAGAGTGCAGGAGACTGTTAAGTAACAGATAATAAGCATACTTCAGAAGGAGGAAAGGCATTTCTGTAAGTAACTATAATAAAAGGCAATGTCTACATACTTGTGAGAAATACAAAGTAGGGTCAAAGAGAGCACTAAATAGCTTCAGAGAAGGGAATCTAATGGGTTATAACTGTCACGATTAATGCCAACCATTTAAAAAAATTAGAATACAGTTTCTCTGCCTTTTCATATTCTTATGACTTCTCACTTTCAAAGATGAGTTTTGATAGCAAAATGTATAGAGGAATGAATTGTATTATTGAAGAATCCAGTAACTTCGGAAAATACACGTTAAAGTAGCCAAAATACACTTGGTTTCAAAAGACTTCTGTTAAAATGTTCTATTATTAATGTTCTAAATCTATAATTTATTAAAAATATTTGTGTAGAGAATTGTTCCAGTTTTGTTTTTGATAATTATTGTGATTAATTTTCTGTTCTTTAAGTGAGCCTGAAACCTTTGTGTCATGTATTGAGAGCCTTAGTAGAACTGTGAAATTATGCTTATACACATGCATTTCGTCCATCAGCACACAGGGTAGTTGTTTCATAAACACATTTGCTAACTTCGTTCCATTATTGCCTATTTAGGGAACCTTTTTCAGCATTTTCCCCACCGCCATACCTGCCATCCTGGAATGAAATTCAGACTATAGAAATACTACTTACCTTTTCTTGTGTAATGACCCTTTGGAGGGCCACAGACTTTTGTAAGATTTAGGATTATTATGGCCTCAACCATTTTTGCCTCCTTAGAAGCATATCAGTATTGCCCTATGGAGAATTAATGTTTTACGAGAAATTCTACAACATTTTCCTTTTGCTCTTTTGCAGAAGGTTTCTGGTGTCCAAAAAAGGTCATGGAAGAATTAACCAAAACAAAAAAGTAATTGGTTTGTAGCTTAGTATTTTTTTATATTTACTTGTGTTTTTATGTAGTTATTCACAAAAGAAGTCTCTATAGGGGATATTTAGTAAAGCTTAACGAGACTTATTCTCACCTTTTGATGTATTATGTGATGTAGGTTTTAAATAACTTATGGTTCAATTGGAGATGAGGTGTGAGGAGGAGAGAGGGTTCAGTATTTATAACCCAGCCATTATCCTCATTAGCTCTCCTCATCCTGCTGTGTTGCTGTTTCCGTTGCAGGAACTGGCTTCACTGTCGATGCCTTTCAGTATGGTGCAGTTGAAGGCTGTACAGCCTATTTTCTCACGCATTTCCATTCTGATCACTATGCTGGGTTGTCCAGAAGCTTCACATTTCCCATTTATTGTAGTGAGGTAAGTTTTCATATTCTAAATTCTGAATATGTGGAATGCTTTGGGTTTCTAAGCAATGTAATTTAAAAAATAATTAAAGCTATAAGATTATTCTACTAGAAAAGATATGAGAGAACAGATTCCAGATCGACTCTAAAATCACATGAATTAATATCAAGAATTACAACCTATTTTTAAAAAATGTTGTATTGTGTAAGATCAGGTAAATTTTATGATGTACTAAAAAACCAGTTTCCTTCAGGAAACATTCTTTGAGTGCCTAAATAAATATAAAAGACAAAATATGTAACTTCAAGTTTACAGCCTCCAGGGGAAATATTCACAAATAACGGTAAGTGGAAAAATGAATGGAGCTCCTAGGACTACTTTATTCTGTTGTGCACCAAGGTGGAAAGTTTCATGGTGAAAGAGATACCTTAAACTAAATATTAAAATCTGAACATTTTAATCCCTGTTACTAAGGGCTTTAGCAAGAATTTGATTTAATCCTCACACCATTCATAAAATATCCTCTTTTTCTCAGTGAAGTAAGTGATTTTTGGAGAGGTTAAGTGAATGCTGCAAGTCACAGAGTAGGTATTGTCAGAGTCCAAATTTGAATGCAGGTCTGTCTTATTCTCAGACAGAGGATAAAGGAGAGAACATACAAGGCAAAGAGTGGAATTTGTATGTAGGCCCTTGAAAAATGTACTTACTCCAAACTATTCAGAAAATTTAGCTTGGGAGTGCTGGCCCATGTCTATAAGCCCAGCGCTTGGGAGGCTGGGGCAGGAGGATCCCTGGGAGTTTGAGGCCAGCTTAGGCTGCACACTGAGTTCATGGGCAACCTGAACTACGTAGTAGTTTTGATACAAGACCCTGTATCAAAAACAAAAACAACAATACTCAGAAAATTTAGAAAAGCTAGAACATGCCATAGGGAACCACAGGAGATAAATCCTCACCAGTGGGTTGGGACCAGATGACAAAGGATTTTGTGCATTATTCTGAGAATGGGGAGGTTTTTATGGAGAGCCAGTGTTTAAGCAGACGAGTGATGCCGTCCTTTTAGGAAGTATTTAAAACTGGAAAACAGGAGAATTTTCAGATGCTATGATTCTAAACTGGAATTGATACAAAATACAAACTATGATCAAGATCCTCTTGACATTTTATAGTGTATTCCATATTTGGAAAACAATATTAAAACTTTTATAAATAGATGCATTTACCAGTTTGTCTTATTTATATACAAAAATAGAAAACACTACTAAAATTTTTAAATAAATACAATTTACTATGTTGTCTTTTTACATATGTAGAAAAAATTGTGTAAGGGGTGATCAAAATATACATTGAATGTTTAAATTAAAATTTTTATTACAAGACAGTTGCCATTAACCTCCCTTAAAAGTACTCCCCCTTGCCTCAAACACACTTCTGCATCATTCTTGCCTCTTTCTGAAGCAGTTCTGAAAGCTTCCTTCTGCTGCTGCTGAGTGCCATCCAGGAAAAAGGTAGACTCATAAAACATGGTGTGTCTTCATCTGCCTTATTCATAGTCTTTGGCACCATTCAACTTCTGGCTCTTCCCCAAAGTCAAAATGACCATGAAAGGTAAATGTTTTGAATTGGTTCAAAGCATTAAGGCAGCCACAGCAGTGCAATTAAAGACATGAAAGAGGAATTCCAGAACTGCTTCAGAAAGAGACAAGACTGATGGTACAAGTCCATTGCAGTGAAGGAGTGTATTTTGAGGGGGATTAATAGCAATGTATCTTTCACTGTAATAAATTTTTAAAAATTTAAACATTAGCTATATTTTTTTTATCACACCTCGTATGTAGTGTTTCACTGAATCAGCAATAAGCACATACTGTTTTGCAGGTAACTGCCAGTCTATTGAAGAGCAAGCTCCATGTGCAAGAACAGTATATCCATCCATTGCCAATGGACACTGAATGTATAATAAACGGCGTCAGAGTCATTTTGCTTGATGCCAATCAGTACGTATTTAAGTTGCCTTAGTCACAGCTTATTTTTAAAAATTCAAAAGGAAAATACATTAAGATGGTTAAGAATTTTTTCGGTTAAAATTAGTATGCTTAATATTTCTTAAAATTTGAATAAAACATATTCTACTTTTGAACAAAAAAAATCCAGTTATACAATCAGAGATTAAATTTAGTGAAATCTTCCAAGTGTTAGAGGATTAAATCTCTCTTAACATGAGACTCCAACTTATTTTTTTAAAAATACATTGATAACTGGGGTGGTGGCATAAGCCTGGAGGCTGAAGCAGTAGGATCTTTAGTTGGAGCCCATCCTGGGCAATGTCATAGACCTTGTCTTAAAAATGAAAAGTGGGGGCCCTGCGGATATAGCCCAGTGTGAAAGCCCTGGCTTCAGTCCCAGTACTGCCGAAAGGGGGAGGGACTAAAAATAAAACTGTTGCTGTGCAGCTAACCTCTTGCCGTTTTCTTTAATATTTATGTAAGTTAACAGCTCATACCCCATTTAAATACCAGAGGTTCTCTTCCTCTAACCCTAAACGTTTCAGACTTTAGATACCAAATACCTGGAAGATTTTTTTTCTTAAAAATTATTTCCTGCCCCCCATCCACCTTTCTAATGTAAAATATTATCAGCATTCATGTTGCCAAAGCAGGACTATTAACTATGCTTCTTTCTACTTTTCCTAATATGTTTGTTAGCTTCCTGTTCCATAGAAATCATAGATACTTGGGCTGGGGATTTAGCTCAGTGGCAAAGCGCATGCCTGACAAGCGCAAGGTCGTGAGTTCGGTTCCTGGTACCGGAGAAAAACCAAAAAAAAAAAAAAAAAAAAAGAAATCATAGATACTTAGGGAAAGGAATAGGCTAAACCTAGGTTTTCTAAAATGCAGGCCCACAGTGTTACTTCAGGTTGTTTTTCATTGTGTCTGCTAGCTTTGCTGCTATTTCTTTTTTTGGTCCCTAACTTGAGTTCTGATTTTTTTTTTAAGTCAACTTTATTGAGATATTCACAATAAATCACATAGTATAAACTACTGATCAAGTTGGTATGACTTAGCTCATGCCTCAGAAACATAAAACACTCTTCTCATACAAAATATTCCGAGGGTTTAGTTCTCATTTCCCAAGAGGCAACCAAGACTGAGTCTTAAAGACAGGCCTTTCTTGGAAATGAGCAGGGTTTGAACAACTCTTGCCTGGTGAATTAATCCTTTCCTGCATACCAGTTCTTTTTATGATATAAATTTCCCATAGTTCAAATGTTGCATTTCTAGTATAGTGCTATGTCACTGGTCACTAATAAACTGTACTTGTTGGTATTGAAATAGGTACCCTTCCTGTAGGTGCTTTACTGTGTAACGGATATGCCTTTAAATGTTTGTGTTCAGCTGTCCAGGTGCTGCTATGATTCTTTTTTACCTTCCTAATGGCACTGTTGTGTTACATACCGGAGACTTCAGAGCAGATCCCAGCATGGAACGTTCTCTTCTGGCAGGCCAGAAAGTCCATGTGCTGTACTTAGACACCACGTAAGAGTGTTTTTAAATGCTGCTTTTTCCCACTGATAGCATTTGCTCTGTTTTTTGTGAATAATTTAAGCATTTGCTTAGGTAATTAAGATAGTGATTTATTGCCAGTTACTCTTTGAAGGCTACTTATCAGAGGGATACTGTTTGGAAAAAAAATGTACTCATCAACGGACAATTTGGTACCACCTGTATTGACTGTGCTTTAATTTTTGTAACTTATTTTTGAAAATATTTATAGCAGAATCCTGTTCCTGAAAGGAGGGAGAAAAATTTAGTGCCAAACTTTAGGAAAACACACTCTTAAGTTACCCTTCCAAAGTGTCCCTGTGAGTATTAGGTATAATCATTAAGAGAAAACTAAGGCCAAAATGCAATTCTGAGTATTAGAGATTTGTTTTTTTTCTCCAAAAGGTAATATATAATTGACAGCTTTAAATTCCTCACTGATATAAATATAGTAGTATAAGCCATTATACTTTATATATACATATTCTCAGCTTTATTAAGGTATACTTGACAAAAATTATATATGTTTATGATGTACAATATAATATTGTATATTAAAATACCTCCTTGATATGTTAAAAATTAATTACATTAAGCATCTCAAACTGTATTAAAGAGAAGTAAGTTTGTATGGGAGATTTTAGTAAAAGATGGTCTTTACATAATTTTCTCACAGTAGGTAATTTTTACATTCTTTTATACCTACTTTAAGTAAAAGATAAATTAAGAAAATAAATTTTCTATATGTATGTATGTTTTTATAGAAAAATTGAAGTTTTTTTCCTCTTTCCTGGTATTTGACTAGGAAAAACAATTTTGAAAATTGAGGCAAGTGTTTATTTAGTGTTTATAGTTTATTTCATTTTAGTGCAGTTATGCTTATTTTTCATATAAAAAGATATAGAGAGTAGCTTAATTGATGTTATTATATTTAGGCCAAACTGAAGCTATTGTATTCTTGTAATGCTACATTTATTTTTGTATCTGTAAAGATAGGTAATAGCCATGGGAATATTCATTAACTTTAAAAACTGTATCAAATTCACATTCACTTTTATTATTTTAATTTTTTATTAAATCAAAATTCCTTAATCTAAATATAACCTTTTTTAATAGTATTTTGTTATATACCAATTGGGGTTTAAAATAAAGATTTATGGGGCTGGGGATTTAGCTCAGTGGCACAGCACCTGCCTGGCAAGCGCAAGGTCGTGAGTTCAATTCCTGGTACCGGAA